GTGTATTTTTATGGGATTTGGGATGAAGTGCTACTTTTCTTTTGATATATATTTCCTCTTTGACATCTTTCAGAAAAGATTGATTACATTGCTTAGATGCTTAATATATGAATATGAATTAGGGAAATATGTCTTAGTACAATCAGCTACATTTGTATCATTTTTTTAACCCTCTGACTGCTTAATTTGTGGACTGAAATCGCTTCCAAAAATTTTTTTTTTTTTTTTTTTCCCCGCTCCTATATTTTAAATCTTTATATATAGGAAAATTGAAAAATGCACTTTTTTTCCTAAAAAATATTTTTTATATAGATTTTTATCATGAGAAACTAAAGTTGCCAGAAAAAAACAATTTCAGATGTTATCACCCCCCAAAAAATTTTTTTCTAAATAAATTTCAGTCGAATTACAGTTAATTTATATTTATTGCAAAAAATATATAAAAAAGTAAAGTGTATAAAATTTAAGAAAATATAAAGCACTGAGAGAAAAACTACCCGTAGAAATGCAGTTTAGTATGATAGAGAGGTTTCAAACTTCACAGGTCTTTGCACCAGATTCAATAAATCTAGTTAATGATCAATCTAATTAATAATCTAATCAATAATTTAATTAAATAATTAAATATAATCGCTGAACGTTTTCTAGCAGCCATTTATGTAAGAAAAAAGCGGCAAAAAGTGAAGTTTGAGCGCTAATACCACATGCCTTCAAATTCCACGTAATTCCACGTGTTGCAATTTAGTGGACAACTAACGATGTCTATTGGCCAATATGTAAACTAACACCTTATACTGTATATAATTTATTTGAATGGTTAAACGGGGAAAAACGGGATGCTCTCCTCAATAAAGAAAGAAAAACATATGCCCACGAAATTACGGGATGAGCAAATTTTGCTATATTTGAGTTGCTTGTGGAAATCGCGGGATGATCAGCCAGAGGGTTAAATGTTTTCATAAAGATTGATAACTTCTTGTGCATCAGTGTTACATTTATTGGAAATCATTTTTGTATCTAAATCATAATATTAGAATGTTTCACATTTTTGGGACTACTTTATATACAATTGTTTGCATATATGTTCTCTTGTATATTTTTTGTGTATAAAGATGAGAAACACGCCAAAGTAAAATGTAAAATTAAGCAGGGGAAAAAAATCTAATTTTGTGCCAACAATCAACTCTTTTATGTAGGTTAAATTTATTTTTTATTGGTTTGGGAGATGGTGGGTTCCTCCCTAATTGTAATTGTTTGTTCTTGATAACTGCTTTACTTGTTGGTTTTTTTATCTCTTGTGCATCTGTGCAACTTTGAAATAACTTTTGATATCATTGTTGTAAAGAAAATATTCTTTTCAAAAGAAGTTCATATTGAAGAAAATCTGTTATTAAAAAATTCATAAGTAGAACAGTGTCTCTGTGTAATTTTTGTGAATTTGTTTTATCATTTGATATTAGTATTTCTTTTCTGGTTGCAGATAACTTGCTCCTTAAAATCAGTTTTAAAGGTTTTTTTTTTTTTTTTTTTTTTTTTTTTTTTTTTATTTAAATGGACGTAGTATTTTAGAAGCTATGTGAAAATTGAGTGCAGAATATTGATAAATGTTTCTTCATTTGTATTATAAATATACATTACATATTTCTGCTTATTAATATACATTAGGTATTTCTGCAATTTTGACATGTAGCCCGGTTTGGTTTCTAAACAATGCACTCAGGTGTCGCTGCCTCTTTACAAGGGTGCCATGAAATATTCTAAAAGCGTCATAATTAATTGAACCAAGACATTTGTCTTAACAAAAAACCCCAAGTGAGAAGCTGAAATTATCAGGATTCTTTTTTGTTTATGTTTCTTTCTCTTGACCCTGTGAAAGTAAAATTGCAAGTGCAGAATATTCTTGCAAATGCTAGCCAAGAATGCAGTGCCAAATTGATTGCACTGTACCGCATGTTGATCTAACCTGAGAATATATACATGGCTAGAATGACCTTTTTACAGTGGCCTTTCATTCCATAAAACTGTGGACTTATTGTTGTTGAAGTTAGCTCATCGAGTTGTTTGATTCGGGGAGGAAAAAATCTACCATTTTTTTTTTTTTTTTTTTTTTCAGGTCAGATTTCATGCGATTTATTCTTGTCAAAGAAATGCCGTCAAATCAACAGCCAAAGTAACAATTTCATTATTGTATTCATTAGGAAAATGTTCCCATAATTTGATAAAAACATTCGTAACGATAATCATAGTGGAAATTCATAGCGGTTTTGCAGCCTCATGAGGTTTTGAAACTATACACATATGCCAAAGATGAAGCAGATGTGCTACAAAATTGCTTTCTCCTTCTTCCAGTCAGTGAATCAATGAATGCTTTAATTATTTTTCTCTTCAGGAGTGGGGTATTGTGGGGTTGCTGGAATTTACAGTTTCACCAGTAAAGCCTAAAAAGGGAATGTCTTCTTATTAACATTGAATGATTGACATTGATATAAGTTGTGGAAATGACTTTTAAAGTCCTCTTTCGAAAATCTCTTCAATATTGACGTCACGTTGCATGACAACACCCGCTCCCACATTGCGGTCCCAGTGAAGAGGTTTTTGGTCAAGCATGAGGTCGTGGAGCTGCATCATCTGCCATACTCTCCTGGCTTGGCCCCCACAGAAGTTTTTTTGTTTCCCAAACTAAAAACTGTAATCAAAGGAACATGCTTTGTGGATGTTGAAGACATCAAGAATGTGACATCGACATTGAAGAGCCTTTCGAAAGAGGACTTTAAAAGCTGTTGCCACAACATACAGCGAGCACAGAAGTGTATTATGGCAGATGGGGATTACTTCGAAACATATTAAAAGGTTACGTTTTTCACGTCATCTGTTCTGTTGTTATTAGAGCAGTCCTGGAAATTAAAAGCTACACCTTGTAATAAGAATTCTCATTTCATATGCTATGTATGGTTTATAAGTGGTAATAATGTTAAAGTACACCTCTGTTTTGAAAAAATATCACTGCAGGATTGAAGGCTGAGTACCTGTGGGAGATTTTTGATATACCCCACTTTTCGACCGAGGTCAATGACATGCACTCACGCTGGAAGCGGTGCGCACTTTCCAGAGTTCTGGAGGCAACTGCCACAGCATCAGTTCATTCCCTGAAACCCCACCTGGTGGAACCAGTCTGTGCACTTCCCTACTCAGAAATGAATTAGTCTTGAAACTACTGATTCACATCCGAAAATAATTTGAATGGGCGTAAGTGTGTTGGTGTCTGTATTGGTGGAGCTTGCTCTGGTGTTTGGCTGCTATGGAGGATTACAGGCATTTATTCAAAGCAAATGACTAAATGCACCGCAAACCCATTTCATTATTCATACAAAAGTGCTTGCATCAAAACGCAGGATTCCTGTGCTGAATGAAGTGTTAGAAAGTGTGTTGAGTGTGATAAATTTTATAAAATCTCGTCCATTTAAAGCAATTTTTTTTTTTTTAATATATATATATATATAAAGAAACTGTATGAGGATATAGGAGCTGCACACTAATCTTTGTTGCAATATAGCAGTGCATGATGGCTGTCTCCTAATAATGTTTTATCGCATATATTTGAATTGTGGCAAGACATTTTTATTTTCCTTAAAGAGGAAGGTTACAAAGTTTCAGAAGATTTTGATAATGTCAATTTTGTAATAAAACTGGCATCTAATCTGACATTTTTGAAAAGCTGGATTTCCTTAATGAAAAAAAAAAAAAAAAACACCTTTTGAAGTTAATGAAAAAAATATCAAATTTTATGAAAAAATTCAAACCATGGATAAAATTGATGAAGATTGCAGGCAAAGATTGTTTTTTTAATATTGCAGTAACTTTTTATGTCAAATGAACTTGATCTTTCTGAAGATATAAAAACTGTGTTTGAAGGGCACTTATCACAGCTAATAATATTTTCAAAGTGAATATTTGGATGGGTTTACGGATTTAACATCCAAATAATATTAGAGCTCCATTTGAATTTACTTCTTCAGAAGAAGAAAATCTTATTATCTTGTGATAACAGTTTGAAAGCAAATTTGGCAGCATTGGATTGACATAATTTTGGGTTTTAGTAGAAGATGAATATCCCTGTCTAAGTGATAAGATCTGTGGCTTTTAATTATGCTTATATTGTATATGTGCGAAGCTGAGTTTTTGGCATTCGATGTAATAAGAAGCAAGTGTAGAGAAAAAATCTACATGGAAAAGGAAATGAGAGCGTCTGTGTCAGTTTAATTGTATGATTAGAAAAATTGTGCAGTAATTTTCAATCTCATCCATTACTTAAGGTAAGGCAGAAGGCAAAAATTTTAATTGAAAAAAGGCACAGTGACTCAGAAAAGTTTGAGAACCACTGATCTAGTCTTTGTGTGACGTACTTAGGATTAAAACGCCATCAGAATCCAGAAGTTGTGAAAGGAAGTGCCTAACGTTTATCTCCCTTCCATTTAAGCCTGCGTGTGCAATTTTTTTTTTTTTTTTTTTAAATAAGTAGCACATATATATCTTTATGGAAAAATGTAAAAACTAAATATAGCTTTTGTATGTAAAATAAATTATAACTTTAAATTACAAAACTATAGGGGGGAGGTTATGCGGAATAAACAAGTTCTGACTAATGACCGAAACAGTAGATGTATATAAAAAAAAAAAAAATTATAGCTCTAAATTTAAAAAACTAGAAGTCTTATGTGGGAGAAAGACTATGCTGAATAAACAAGTTCTAATTACTAGTAAAATGACTGAAATAGTGGAAAGTCAAAAAGTAGAGATACTCGTATAATTTTACATTCTGTCATAATTGTACTAAATTCTAATAGTATATAAATTAATAAATATGTTTGAGTATTTGTATTACACAGAAATTGTACTTAATGTTTCTTTGATAGAAACTGCATAGTCAGAACTAAGAAAATGTGAGCATAATATTGATTTTATAATGCTTGAAATGAAAATGTAATTTTTTTCATTTTTAGAAATGGCCACACTGGAAGTCACGATGGTCATAATTATCTTCATGGGCGATATACACCTCCTCCTGCTGTAAGTAATGATGCAAATACTTCTCATCGTAAATGCTGCCTTTAATTTTCCGCTAAAATTATAATTTATGCAATTAGTATTTGTAAAGATTAATTATCTTAAATTTATTTTGTTATAAATGTCTAACATGAGTAAGATTTTGGATAATTGGTATTTTAATTTATCATTATAAATGTTAAATAACATAAAGCAGAAATTTCAGAAGTTAATCATTGGTAATTTTCCAGTAAATTATGTTCATTTTTCTCAAACTTATTTTGGTGATACTTATTTATTTATTTTTTTATTTATTTTTTTTGGATGTAAGTGATCTACAATTTTTTAGTTAATATAAACAAGTAGATATTTTGCATTTCCTGTGGGTTACAATTTAATATTTTTTTTTTATTTTTTATTTGATGTATTTTAAATTTGGAATTGCATTGTCACTCAAAAGGAAATTAATTCTTGTAAGTGGGAAGAGTGTAATTGAAAAGTATGATATTTTTATATTTTATAATCTGTTTATTTTTTATGGTTTAGATTTTTTTCTAATTACTGTAGTGCTAATGTATTTAATTTATACTAAAACTATTAAATTATAGTGCTCAGTTCTTAAAATAATTGTAAATTTAAGGATACCTGATAACACTGCTGTTAATAATGCATAAATCTTAAGATCTTAATTTTGTGGCTGATGATAATAAATATTTAAATTCAATAGCTTATTTAAAAAGATGATTATTATTAGATTAGATTATATCATTTAAGTTTTTTTATTCAAGACTGATCAGAATAATATCTTTATTTGCTCTTTTTATTGTAATTATTTTTGTCTGCAGAGAGTTCATGTTTGTTTTCTGTTTTATGATTAAAATTTTCTATTATGGAATTTAAGTTTTCTTTCTTTGCGTACATTCTCCCCTACCCATCCCCAAAAAAGTATTTGAATGGAGAAATTGGCCTTACAGCATTGATTAAAATTGGTAAAGTCTCACACCTTTTTCAAACATCAACTCTTTGTATATACAGTGAATGCTCATTATAATGACAGTTTACTTTAGTGGCTAGCATTTCCATTATGATGACCAGTATGAAAAATCCCCAACTGATGAGAATATATTAAATTTACTTTTGTTACATTAACCACTCACACTTGTTATAACATCATTTTTCTTTAGGATACAATAGGTCGTTATAATGAGCAAGCATCATTTGTATAATTTCTTGGTGTTATATGTGTTGTTTTGCAATAAGAGGGTACATGAACAATTTTCAGTAACACATGTTCCCGTGTCATTTTTAAAATTTGTATGCATATAAAAAAAAAAAAAAAAAAACTTGCATCTGCATTGATTTTTCCATATTTGTTTTACTCTTTATATCTAACACCAGCATGAGAGCATGTTAGATTGTTTTAATACTAGTCAGAATATTTTACCTTAAAATATACCTTTGTAGTGTTGTTGTGAATGATGTTAAGCTTGCATGAAGTAATTAATATTAAACTTGCATCTTTCTTTTTTTAATAGCATTTCTCATCCTGCATATATATATTTTTTTTACAGTTTTTAATTTTTAAACTGTACAGTTCACTTCCTCTATCTTCACCACATAGAATAACCAGTCTTGAAAATTTCTTGAGATGAATATGCTTTTTTTTGGGGGGGGGAGGGAAGATCTTCATATTTAAAAAATTGGTGAATGTCAAGCAAATACTGTAGAACTAGGTTCGGCTGCTGGTGCCTGAATGAGATAAGGTTTTTTAATGTTTTTCCATGTGCCAAATGTTAATGTGAGGTAGTTTTCCTATAAAATTTTAATGTTAAATACTCTTCCCTATAAGAAGACAAGCCTTGTCATATTTTGCCATTATTAGCTAATCTAATCCCAGTGTCAAATGTAAGAATTTGAATGAGGAATATCATTTATATGTTATTACAGAACAATTAAGTCAAGTATTTGATAATATATAGCAGTTCATATTATTATAGAGTCTTATATAATCCATATTATCATGTATATTCTGATCTAGAAATTGGATGTTACCAGAATTACATAAGAAGTGCATTTTTTTAAAGTGTTTTCCGTCATTATTTTTTTTAACAAAATAAAAATAGATCAAGATAAGGGGAAATTTTAAGGTATTTTATCAAAAATTTCAAATATATATGTATTTATATTAACTGATGCAATTCATACATGGATTCAGTATATTCTTATTTAATCAATATTAAAAAGTTGTCCCAATTTAAAGAGATTTTGGTAGAGGAATGCTGGCTGTGTTATTTTGGAATTTGTTTTATGTATTTTCATTTTAGCATGAGCATGTTGTATGATATAGTGTTATGACTTAGTAGAAGTACTTGGCTTAGTGCACTTTAGTTCTATGGTTGTTAACTCAAAAGATCTGTCTATTTTGTAAATGTAATTTAAAGCATTAAGTGCTTTCAAGATTTTAGTTCATAACTAATGCAAAAATGTTATGTGTTATTCCTGTTCAACTGCTATGAGAAAGTTGCAGTCTTTGCTAACAAATCTTATAAAAAGCCATTTTTTAATGCTTATCAAATATTTCCATATGCTCAGTGGAAGAATAAGGAATGGTGTGATTTCTTATGCTGCTTTATTCTGTGGTATTTTGGTGCATTTTATCATCAAATATAAATGAGTTACTCGTTTAAGTTTTCACAGTATCGTAATCATGGCACACATCACAATATTATATCATTTTCAAAATATTATTATGATACATTTTAAAATATGTATATATCAGGGCTGTCTGGATGTTTTATCCAGAAGTATAAAAAACGTGTCATGAGTTTGGTCAGAATTGTTTATCAGAAAGCAATTTAATTTTATAAACTACTTTAATTTTTCCTCAGTATATCTTTGCAACTGTCCATCTAATTTATTAAAAACAATGTATGTTAAATTTCCATTTTCTTAACAATACATGGCAGATTTGAGTAAAAATGCTTTCATGAATACTGACCTAGAGAAAACTGTAGAAATGAGAAATTTTGTTTGAAATAATGATTAAATATATGTTTGCAGGATATTTATCAAGTTATTAGAAATGCATGGAAACATATTTAAGGTATTAAAAGCTATGTATAATAACTATTATGTGTATGAGAAGGAAAATAGTCCTTATTACAAACTAGATGTTTGGATGATTTAAAAAGGAAACAACAGATCTAGATCTGTCTGCTGATTTACACATCTGTCAGCAAGTGGACAAATGTATTTCTCCATATTTAATATATATATTAAAATATATATCAAGCAAAGCAGTAAAAACAATTTTGGTCAAGATATATTTAATGCCACTGATGTAATCTTCAGTGCCATTATCGATAAGTGAATAATTTCTGTAACAGGAAATGGTACAAGAGATTGAAATAAAATACAGTGAAATATGGTTTAACGCGAAAACCCTTAAGACGAAATATCGGTTAACACGAAATAATACTATGGTCCAGACAAACTACTATGTATTTTCATGCATTTTGTTTCTCTTAACACAAAATAAAAATCGCTTAACATGAAAAAATATCCTTTTTGGTAATCAACAATATACGGAGAACGCCGGCCTCGCAGGCGAGATTTAAGCAGGGTGATATGAAACAGAGGTGGTTTCACATGTTTCGTAGAAAGGAAGTTAACTTGGCTTTAAAGTACTCTTGGAATAGCCTGTGACACAAGCCAGTTTTGTTTATCTAAACTACTTTAACCTTCCATCCCTACAAACGTCACACAAACATCTCATCTCTCATCAAGTTAGCTTTGGAATTCAGTGATGAGTACATGGCAGTGTGAGTAAAAATTAGTGAGTTTGATTCATAAGTTGCACTCTGCATGGAATTTAGTGACTCCAAGGACGAATGAAAATTGCTTTTGTCATGCACGATTCTCAAAAGTATCAGACTCTTTGGCGCCTAAAGAAATGGAGAAGTAGGATATTGAAACTCAGCTGACACTTAATAAAATGTTTGAGAAATTTTCTGTATTAATGGACTGTCCAACTGTATTATCGGAAGAATTCCTTGCAATAGTTGATGATAATGCATGTGCAGCTCCAATTATGGCAAAGACATTTTGAAGTTTGTTTAAAGCTAAAAAAATATCATTAATGTAGGTTCCAGTGACAAAAACGAAATGAATAATGCAGCTCCTGTTCCCACATCATTTGAAATGAGGAACATCATAAAAAGTAGGAGCAGTTATTTAGACGCACATTCCAATAGTGAAATAAGTAGCAAAATGGACGGCATTGAAAAATTTTGTAACAATTTGATGCTAAAAAAGACAATGCAAAGAAAAATATCAGATTATTTTCCAAAAACTCAAGAAATGTTTTGTTTATCAAAAAACCTTAAAAATTTTGTATTAAATTTCATCATTTTCTTGTGGATGTTTTTGTTTCATTGATTTTTATTAAATACATGCATATATACATATCTGTGTAAATGTACTCTTATAAGGTATTTCTCCCACCATCTTGGCATGCCTTTGTGGTGTGGTAGTCTGCACTCTCAACGCGTAATTGAGAGGTCCATGGTTCGATTCCCGGTGAAGGCGTTGCATATTTTTCCTCTCTCCGACCTCAAAATAACTTAATGACTCTACAAGTGTCGCCCGAACTAAAAGGGTGTTGGATGATGGCTCTTCTCACCCAGGATTTGGCCATTGGGTCTCATAAAATCCCCAGTGGCCCTTTAAAAGAGGTAGTATATAAGGTATTCCTCCCACAATCTTGGCAAGCTTTTGTAATGTGGTGATCTGCACATTCAGCGCGTAATTGAGAGGTCCGTGGTTTGATTCCCGGCGAAGGCGTTGCATATTTTTCACCTCTCTGGCCTCAAAATAACCTAATGGCTCTACACTCCTCTAAATTTTGTTGAATATGTTTCCCCCCCTCAATATCCTTTAACATGGAAAAATATTTCAGTCCCCTCAGTTTCGTGTTAAACGATGATAAACTGTATCAGTGATGGTTCAGGAAATAGGGATGATTG